TAACAATATCGCATCGGGACAATTTTCTTTTTTAAATATCCCGCGGGAATTCCGGTAGGGAGGAGGAATCCACAGGATACTTTTTCGACGACCAATCGTATTGACCACCGAGAGTCACCCATCGGAGTTTTTTATCGAGCATGCGGTCAATGGGTAAGTCTCGTCCGTCGGTGTTGAGCGCCTGGAAGGTAGTCCCCGGGGGTGACTCGAAATACGAACCTATGTCGGGTGGCGGGGGAGGTAAGTTGTAGTGTGCGTGCAGGTTTGTTTTGTGCCGCGGGTCGGAGAGATCGCGGAACAGCAGTTTTCGCAGCAGGGTCTTTTGCACCGACGGAGGGAGTAAGTTGGGTATTACCCGTAGTCCAGGGACCGAGGAAACATTGTAAACGGGTATGTCGGACTCGACGTTCACCGTGTCTTCGCGCCCATCGCTGAATGCGGAGAATGCGGTTGATGCGACGGAGGCGCTGATTGTTGAGTTTGCGACGGGGGAAAAGGAGGACGGGGAGCTCAGAGGGAGGTTTTCAAAGTCCAGGACTGTAGGCACCGTTAGGGGTGATCTTTGGTGCGCTTTGTGTAAGGCGCGGATATGAGGTGGTGGAGCATGATGGGCGTGGGAGATTGGTAGTGGTTGTGGTCCGGTTTTCATTCTCATTCTACTGGTATTCGTGTTCCTCGGTAAGCGCGGGAGTGGGGGTAGTGAGACTTGAACTTTCTCAATTTTTGATCTTGGTCTGCTAGCGCGTGGGGGTGGATTAGGGTTATTTCCAAAGTACTCTTATGTGTTCCCGCTGACTTGGAGTTAAGTCTGGCGCGAGCGGGTATCGTAGCTTACTGATGGTTACTATAACGAGACCAGATATCGGATACCGGCAGCCGGTACTAGCATTGCATCTGTGGTGAACGCTGTTAATTAAAGCATCTCAATATATAGTCATTACTGATTTTCCAATCATGTCCAAAAAATTTTCAATCGATAAAGATCGTACAGTCACTCGGCAGAAGTGTTCGTGAAACCGGTCTCAGATGACTAAGCTGCCTTGCCAAAATGCCACCTTTCAACAAAGTGTAAAGTTGATCATGACCGTTCACTCCATCGTGACTGTGACCATTCACAAATCTACACCCACCGAAGCCTCCTTTACCTAATTAATTAATTTATTAACTTCCTCTACCTTTGTTACCAATGGTTAAGCATTCTGGAAATACGAAGTATGCTACAAAAAAAAGACCCCCACCTAAAACCACCCAGAGAGAAATGAGCCTTGCAGAGAAGGGCATGATAATCACCTTTTTCTACTGCCTCCGGAATATTGCCTTGGTGGCTCAAATTATTAGACGCCCATGGACAACTGTTAAGAGCTTTCTTGTCTGGACATGTGAATGCCAATCTCTTGAAAATCTCCCTTACCCCAGTCGCACCTCCATTTTGAGTGGTCAACAGCGTCGCACAATTATACAGGCAGCCAAGTCCAATCAGAAAATGACCAGATGCGCCTTCAGGGATCGCTATGCATCCGGTGTTTCTCTTGATACTGTTAACTCTTTGTGCTACCCTGAGTGACTGGATATAATTACCTACTCAATTTGCCTGCATAGTGGACTGGGTACTCAGAGAAGCAAACATTAAAAAATGGATAGCCAAGTCAAGATCTAGGCTAAAGTCTGATCATGTGGCTAAGAGATTGAGATGGGCTACAGCTTATAGGGACTGGACAGCTGAGGATTTTGAAAGGGTGATTTGGAGTGATGAGTACAGTGTGGAGAAATCCAAGGATCCAAAGCAACAATGGGTATTCAGAGAACCAGTAGAGAAGTGGTTGGCTGATTGTGTACACTCAAAGGAGAAGGATAAGGGAATCTCACTTATGGTTTGGGGGTGCTTTTGGGGTAAAAGAAAAGGTCCATTAGTTCCTATTACTCAAACTATCAATAAGACCAGGTATGTTAGACTTTTGAGAAGATATCTTTTTCCTGTTATTCATCAAATGATTTCCTTTGGTATACAACTTGAAGATGTTCTTTTTCAGCAAGATAATGCTCCTGTTCATAAGGCATATAGTGTTATGGATTGGTTGGAGAGAAACAGTATTGAGGTTGTGGACCATCCCCCTTATTCCCCTAATTTAAATCCTATTGAGCATGTATGGGTTGAGCTTAAAAAGCGATTGCACCAGCAGTATCCAAGGATTGCAGATACTTCAGGAGGAAAAGAGGCTGTTAGGAGAAGACTTGCACATGTATTACCATTGGTTTGGGAGAAATCAATGCCTGATAGGGTGGCTGCAGTTTTAGAAGCAAGGGGAGGTTATACAAAATATTAGCTAGTTTAATTTATGGTAGGTCAATTGATGGTTGAATGTTGAGAGGTGCCAGTGGTTGTTGATCGTGAACTTGAACTCGCGCACACGCACGCCCGTTGACAACCCCACTGGCACTGCCCCACCATATGGCGCAACCGCAATTAAACCTTGTCTCAGATCACGAACACTTCTGCCGAGTGACTGTACTACTTGACTGCCCAATTTCGGGGTGCGAGAAGGTCAGGGATAAGGGGATTAAGAGAAAGGATAACCTTCCCGCTCATGTATTGAATAAACATGGGGTCAAGCTTCCTCCCCAATCCCCCCACCACTCGGCTGGGGTGTCTTGATCACAGGATGTCACTAGTGTTTATTTGTATTTAGGTTCCTTTTCGTGCGGTTCAAATCGAGTTCGTCGGATAGTTGGAGTTAATTATGGAGGTTCCGGGAGTCTAACGTATAGTTTGGGGATGTGGGGGATCATCATGAGGGTTCAGAGGTTTACGGAAGCGGTTCTCTAGACATGTCATTCCTTTGTTACCACCGGAGTGTGTGGAGGAATCGGAACTTGTGTGGCACAGAGAGAGAGAGATGTGGAGATCTCCGGAGGGATCAGCAAGTTTTGATTATACACATGTCTTTCCCGGTAATTTATTTTAGCGAACGAAGTGAACGACGTTGCTTACCATGCCTCCCGCATCCATTCGTGCGCTGGCTACTTTCCGGGTGGGTGCTCTTATCTGCAGGCTACCGCTGCGCGATCAGTCTTCCACCTTTATCCACAGTTAACATTGAGCGGTATGTTTCTGGGGGGGCTCTAGGTCCGATTTTAGTGGTATATGCGTTTCCATGTTTTCCTTTTTATGTTTTTTTACCTATATTTAGGATCAAAATGATTACCCCGGCCCTTTAACCTAGAGATGTCGCTGTACTCGAGTACCAAACGGGTATTCGTAACAATAGTACTAGTAACTGTGACCCTGCTTAGGGATCTACGAAAGGCCAACAAACTCACAATCTTTATAATGCGTGAGTAGAGATCCAAGGTATTATAGTCTCTCCTGTTCCTCTCCCATTTTGTTCTTTCCCACACCTCTAAATATTCGCCTATATCATCATCCTCCAACTTCCACCCGCCGAGCTTTCCTCTACCTCCGCTCCTATAGGTAGACCGAGGCATCCCCCGACTCCTAATGTCACTTCTACACCAGTAGGACCTCATTCGTCTTCTTGGTCAATGACGTAGAATTTCGGGAGAACGGTTTCGTATACCCCTTGGGTGGGTAGTTTTCACAATGCTTGCTTTGGTTAGTGATGGCCAGAAGCATGCTCGAGCAAACCGATAGATCCTGCTCGAGTCTCGCCGATTATGATCAGTTTTTGTTGCTTACCTATGTCAAAATGTGAGGGAGGATTTTTTCACAAAACACAGTTACTCCGAGACCGGCGAGTTCGAAGCATTGGCGCTATTCCCTGGGCTTGGAGCGTTAGATACCGTTTCTGCCAGTTGCTCAGATTTTGGTGAGGAAATTTTTGAAACGTACATTGCGAAGGGAAGAGTGTCGAAGAATCAATAATAGAGTCTGGTTGAGAATGTGTTATCAGGTGAGCGGGATAGGCAGTTTTCATGCAAATAGATAATCCCACTTGATTGCCGAGACATATCAAACATATCATACCTATATCCATCTTGGTAATCATGTGATATCACCTATTTATTATCTAAACACTCTCTACGCCGCACACTCGATAACATATTCTCGACAATGCACTCTGCCATTGATTCGTTAACACGCTTTACTTCCCCCTTCTCTTGCCTAAAATGTCCTCACTCTTATAGTCTCCTACGACATGCGGGACGTCATAGTTGGTACCCATACGCTTCAAAATATCCTACAACATCTACACTTCTTTCCCGTTTCCGAACGCGTCGTGGAAGGCTATCGCCTCCGGAGTGCAACCATAAGGATCCTGACACCTAGTCGGTTCTTCGGTATAAAGGAATAAAGACTATTGATGGTTGTGATGGTTGTCGAAACCAACTCAAGTTTTAAATTGGTTGAGAGTGAGGATTCTCCGCATGCTATTAGAATACCGTGATGGTGAACAAAAGTTGACCGTGGCCGGCTAGACTCGAGCATAATCGATTATACTCGATCAGTGGGCATGCTTGATCACTGCTTGATTACTCGATCAGGATCTATCAATTTGATCGATCATTCGATCGTGAGGTCGCCGCGATTAGATCATGCTCAAGCAGAACCCCTATGATCTGCTCGATCATGATCTAGCCCATCACTACACAAGCACTTGAATTATCTGTTCACCTTTTGTGATTTGAAAACCTGGTAGCCATAAAAAAAATCTTAAATAAAAATAAACCACAACTTTTCCACAGCTGACAGCACGAACCCATCACTTATATATGAATTCTCATTGCAGAAAAGTTATTCCCAAACCTGTGGACGTAGTGTAGGAGGGCTTGTGTAGCCCATTTAAAAATCTTCACAAGGCATTACGGTGACTCACATCAGCACTTCACCCCATACCAAAGCGTGAAAATAAACCCGACTATCCCACCCTCCGTCTTTTTTTCCCCTGCCGAATGGGGGGTTCCGCTACCAACTCATAATAATGTGTGTTGCATCTTTCAAAGTGTGCCTTTGTCCGTGCCTACATTTTTAATTAGTTAGTTCCATGTCATATCTCCCTACGTGCTAGTTTATCAAGCATGGGGACATCTTGGCACCATTGATGCTTGTATTGGGACAATTGTCTCACAATACTACATAAATGGACAAGCACGAGTACTTCGACTGGGTAGGAGGGGTTAAAACTTACATCTCCAAGATTTTGTACACATGCACCACAGATTGGGCAGTAGTATCTTCCTTCTCTCTGGTGATTTCTTCTGCCGTCGTTGTCTAGCCTTTCACCCGCTTCGCGGAGTTCCGCAGGTGTTAGGCTTGCCGCCCCGTCTTCGCCATTATTATCACCATCCTCTCCGGCCACCTCCTCCTCTTCTCCTTCTGCGGCTTGATCCCTACCCAGGCCTCCATCAATGCTTGCGGCTTGGCCCCGATCTTGGTTTGCTGCGTCTTCTGTGGCCCGGCCTCTAGCCCGGTCTAGAGCTTGGCCCGCATCGTGGTCCTCAGCCTGACCTGCGGGCCCCCCACCACCGCCACCGGGCGAACCAGGGAAGCCGCGGGCCACTTGCCTTTCCACCATCTGCAAAAAACGATTCTCCATCTGCAAAAAACGATCCTCCAATCGCCCAATATCGTCCCTGGGTGCTCGGATTTGGTCATCGGGTTCTGGGGATACAGGGGCCATAGTATGTACAGCAGATGAG